TATATATATATATATATATATGACAGTTTTGTAAACAACGGTGTTGGTTGTTGCTTTCGTATCTGGGGTAGTATAACTTGATGTTCAGTTGTTCGCCGAGCTTGGCAATTTTACTGCAAACATTTCCTCACCAATCGAGGTGACATTCCAATACAGCACTGGGTGAGCTCTTACAAGTGTTCCTTTCCTTATACAGGTCGTTGGGTGATGTAGAGAAGTGGTGTTTCCTGATTGGTTGGACAGTCGTAAGAACCCATTCAGTTACTGCATTGAGAATGTCACCTCGAGTGGTGAGGAAACGTTTGCAATAAAATTGTCAAGCTAGACAAACAACTGAACATCAATATCATATCATAAATATATATATATATTTGATAATAAGTAGTATGTGAATGAGTGGACAAAATTACCCTGGAAACACGACCAAACAAATATTCTACCAAGACCATCAGGCCACGTTTGTTGCGGTTAGTAGCATCTAACCCAATCACAAAACAGAATCATAGCACTGATTCTTCATTGGACTGGCTCTCAAAGAGCTGTCTATCCAACGGTTACCCGGTGTTGCAAACAAGGTTATTTTGACGAATATATATAAATATATGTACTCTCAATTGCTCACATGAAATATATATGTATATAACAAAAATTATTCACTAACACATTCGTATATGTGAGAAAAACATCGGGACAGTAAAGCATCGTTGCAAACTCTTCGCATCTAAGTAGACCACAGTTCATTATTCAGACGAGAAACTTCAATTCACGTTCTCTGCACACTCTTGACCAGCGTATTGTTAACTGTGGTGTTCGCACTTCTCCACAGAGCTTTGAGGGCGATCTTCAGTTCAGCAAGAGCAATAGACTAACAGGTGTTGATCAAACTCGTGCGAGATAGTTTGCAAGTTTCCGATATCATATCGATAACCAGATATAGAAAGCAGTTATCTCAGAATTTATTTCTCCAAGTAATATTCTTAACTTCCTCCCAATGGGATAGGTGCGACCTTGGTTAACACGGGAAAATTTGCAGCAGCTACGGCTCAACATTAGAAAATATTTGGTGCAGAACGGCATGGAAGTTCAATCTTACTAAAAAGTGATTATTGTTCCACGAGGGTGTTTACTCTGGTCAATCCAAATATTTTAAATAGCATATCGTTTTACATGCGATGCACAGGAAATATACCAACAACTGAGGATTTGTTACCATAATTTATTTTTGGAAAATACATACGTACTGACGCACTGACGCAAAATTTCTCTTCATGAGGGGAGTAAAAATATATGCCACACACCATATGTACACACCATAACAAAACCTTTTTGCATAATAAGGTGTAATACCACATTAATTCCTGTGCACGAGTTGGTTTCGTTTGGTTTACGGCGGCTGACTCCTGGGAGCGGATAAGCCAGCTTCGTGGATATCCCGAATTGCATCTGTCCACAGTCACCTGTTCCTGTGGAGCACGTTATGTGGGTCGAACGGTGAGGTGTCTATTTGATCGCACCAAGGAGCATCACCCCGTTTGGTTGATCCAGGGATTGACAAGGACCGGGACGACGGCAATTACGAACTATTTGACTGAGTCTAATCACACAGTCAATGTGCTTGAGACCTTCAGTCCCCTCTACACGGTCAGAGGTAGGTTATCCAAAGAGGTCAAGTTCAGAATTTTGTCAACAGCCGTCTCCACAACCCCCTCCCCTTGTGCGCCCAGAAACAGTTTATAAGAGCACTGGTCTTACCATAGCCATCCACTAACAATTTGATTTCCTTTGCAGATATTTGTCTCCTTTCCCCACCTGTTTTAATCTGTTATAAATTGTGCAGCATTTAGCCAGTTGATGTAGCACTGAAAACGAGCTTGTTTGCTATTTTGTGTTCTCATGGAGCCCTATTTACTAACTTCCCGTGGCGCAGATTTTTTCTCACCAAAGGGAAAGGACGGAAAATCAATAATTGGAACTGGGTCGGTGAACCATTGACAGTTCACCTAGAGGAGTTGACTAAAAACCCTGATTCAAAACCAACCAAGAAGAGGTGTACAAACCACACACACCTTCTTGGTTGGCCACCAGCTCGACTGGGCATCGCGGTGCATTGGGCACCTTGGATGTTTGATCTCATCCAAAGGGCGTATGATTTGATGAACTGGATACCGACCCCCAGTGGATTGAGGTTTACACACATCACCCCACTATTTTGCCGGTCAGGCTGTGGATAGCCGAAAGCTCTAAGAAAATTCACCTGCTTGGTCTGGGCAATCTAGCGTTATCGCGCCCTTGAGGAAGTAATGTACCTTTTTCCTTTTTACAAAGATTATTGCACCATGATTTGTTTGGAACAGTCTGAATTCAGACGGGTGAGAATAAAGTAAAATAAAAAGGGATAACTGAACGCTTTAGTCTATCAGTAAAAACGCATGGGGGTGCCAATGTTGTTTTTAACAGCATTAGGTAATGATGGCAGCGTCACGTTTGGTGCTTGCATGAGCATAATCGATTGGGAAAGCCATTTTCCTCCTCAATCACGACCATTTTCCTTTATTGTCCCCTATCTGTATAAAATTTGAATTTACATTACGCGAGTACTGCGTTCTTCGCTGCACATCTGAAAACTGATATCTGATAACTGATACCGTACTGAGAGATATCATCGTTTTCCCCCGGGCCGCAAAAGGAGGGAACCGAATCCGTACGTTTCCCGAACGAACCTGGGCTGATACCTAAACAAAGATCGGCGGTTTAAGCACCCTGGTGATGGAACTACAACAGTACGGGGATAACCCTGATGAACAGCGAGCAGAGAGCCATTCTGTATAGGTGATTTCCATTCAAACGAGATCGCGTGACTATAAAGAATCAGCCAAACAAGTCACAACCACTGGACGGGACATGAGCTGCAAAAGGTCACTAGCGATAAGATTTAACTTCATAGATACACTGTTCCTTCCTCTTCTCTCTCCAGATCGCATTTATATGCACTTACATCAAAATTATCATCATTGGAGTGAACTTCACTGATCGCTGCCAAACTCATAATGCATACAAGATAAGTGAGAATGTGTAAGGTGGACAGGGGTCGGGGCTATTTTCACGGACGAGAAAAGAAAGCGAACCCCCATGGTCAACATACAGAGTACACAGCTGTGTATACATATTAGTTCAAGCACATTACCATCACAACGAGACTACACCTAGACGCGGTGTGATGGCTTGTGCACCTCTGTGACCCAACGAGCTATACAGGATGGCTTTTTAAAGCCAGATCTTATCATGCCTGGAAGGTCAATGGGTAGAAGTCAGACGAAGTTCAGTCTCCTGTTCCTCCAGGTTGTGGGTCCGCCTGGAATTTGGCGTTTCAGTCGATAAAAAGCGGTGGAGGAGT